CCCTCTCACCCCACTTTCCCTCTCACCTCCACTCTCACCCCCACTCTCCCTCTCACCTCCACTCTCACCCTCACCTCCACTCTCCCCCTCACCTCCACTCTCCCTCTCACCCCACTCTCCCTCTCACCTCCACTCTCCGCATCACCCCCACTCTGCCCCTCACCCCCACTCTCCCTCTCACCTCCACTCTCCCTCTCACCTCCACTCTCCCCCTCACCTCCACTCTCCCTCTCACCCCACTCTCACCCCCACTCTCCCTCTCACCCCACTTTCCCTCTCACCTCCACTCTCACCCCCACTCTCCCTCTCACCTCCACTCTCACCCTCACCTCCACTCTCCCTCCACTCTCCCTCTCACCCCACTTTCCCTCTCACCTCCACTCTCACCCCCACTCTCCCTCTCACCTCCACTCTCACCCTCACCTCCACTCTCCCCCTCACCTCCACTCTCCCACTCACCCCCACTCTCCCTCTCACCTCCACTCACCCCCACTCTCCCCCTCACCCTCAATGTCACGTCCCACCTGTGGTGCTTTTGCTGTTGCTGTGCAGGTATTTCTTGTTAGTTTTTTTGACGATTTGTATTTACTCGATTGTATTTGTTAGCAGGTAAGGCTCCCACTGTGCCGGACAGCTGATTTTTTTTCTTCAGATAAGCGACCTGGCCACCACAAATGGCAGCTCAACGAAGTGGCTCATCATCATCATTGCCTGGAGCATTTATAGCAGCCAAATATTTCTAAATGTGTAGGGAAAAACCGGAGGAACCCGGAAAAAAATCCACGCTATCACGGGGAGAAAGGCACGCAGACTCCAAATATGCAGCAGCAGCAGGCGTCAGGGTCGGGATCTAACCCACGATCTCCTGTACGCCAGGCGAGGTAGTTAACATTTCCTAACCACCGTGTTGCCCTAAGGCTCAACCTCACTTCCGCTGCTCCCAACCCTACAACCCCACAGATCCCACAAACCCACTCCCTCACGGTCTCCCACGCCTGTTGACTTCCACCTCGCTTTTCTGTACGTCCACCCTCCAGCTCTGCCAACCAACCTCACCACGTACGGGCAGGGGATCCCTCGACTTACGAACGTTCGGCTTGACAACTTTTGGCGCGGTCCGCGATTGACGCGTTCTATGGACGCCTTTCGACTGACGAGACCGGTGTTTTGTGTCCGCGTGAAGGGAGTCTCACTCCAGCCACGCGTGAAGGGAGTCTCACTCCAGCCACGTGTGAAGGGAGTCTCACTCCAGCCACGTGTGAAGGGAGTCTCACTCCAGCCACGTGTGAAGGGAGTCTCACTCTGGCAACGTGTGAAGGGAGTCTCACTCCGGCCACGTGTGAAGGGAGTCTCACTCCAGCCACGCGTGAAGGGAGTCTCACTCCAGCCACGTGTGAAGGGAGTCTCACTCTGGCCACGTGTGAAGGGAGTCTCACTCCAGCCACCCGTGAAGGGAGTCTCACTCCAGCCACGTGTGAAGGGAGTCTCACTCCAGCCACGTGTGAAGGGAGTCTCACTCTGGCCACGTGTGAAGGGAGTCTCACTCCAGCCACGTGTGAAGGGAGTCTCACTCCAGCCACGTGTGAAGGGAGTCTCACTCTGGCCACGTGTGAAGGGGGTCTCACTCCAGCCACCCGTGAAGGGAGTCTCACTCCAGCCACGTGTGAAGGGAGTCTCACTCTGGCAACGTGTGAAGGGAGTCTCACTCCGGCCACGTGTGAAGGGAGTCTCACTCCAGCCACGCGTGAAGGGAGTCTCACTCCAGCCACGTGTGAAGGGAGTCTCACTCTGGCCACGTGTGAAGGGAGTCTCACTCCAGCCACCCGTGAAGGGAGTCTCACTCCAGCCACGTGTGAAGGGAGTCTCACTCCAGCCACGTGTGAAGGGAGTCTCACTCTGGCCACGTGTGAAGGGAGTCTCACTCCAGCCACGTGTGAAGGGAGTCTCACTCCAGCCACGTGTGAAGGGAGTCTCACTCTGGCCACGTGTGAAGGGAGTCTCACTCCAGCCACCCGTGAAGGGAGTCTCACTCCAGCCACGTGTGAAGGGAGTCTCACTCTGGCCACGTGTGAAGGGAGTCTCACTCCAGCCACGTGTGAAGGGAGTCTCACTCCAGCCACGTGTGAAGGGAGTCTCACTCCAGCCACGTGTGAAGGGAGTCTCACTCTGGCCACGTGTGAAGGGAGTCTCACTCTGGCCACGTGTGAAGGGAGGCTCACTCCAGCCACGTGTGAAGGGAGTCTCACTCTGGCCACACGTGAAGGGAGTCTCACTCCAGCCACGCGTGAAGGGAGTCTCACTCCGGCCACGTGTGAAGGGAGTCTCACTCCAGCCACGTGTGAAGGGAGTCTCACTGCGGCCACGTGTGAAGGGAGTCTCACTCTGGCCACGTGTGAAGGGAGTCTCACTCCAGCCACGTGTGAAGAGAGTCTCACTCCAGCCACGCGTGAAGGGAGTCTCACTCCAGCCACGTGTGAAGGGAGTCTCACTCCAGCCACGTATGAAGGGAGTCTCACTCCAGCCACGCGTGAAGGGAGTCTCACTCCAGCCACGTGTGAAGGGAGTCTCACTCCAGCCACACGTGTGAAGGGAGTCTCACTCCGGCCACACGTGAAGGGAGTCTCACTCCGGCCACGTGTGAAGGGACTCTCACTCTGGCAACGTGTGAAGGGAGTCTCACTCCAGCCACGTGTGAAGGGAGTCTCACTCCAGCCACGTATGAAGGGAGTCTCACTCCAGCCACGCGTGAAGGGAGTCTCACTCCAGCCACGTGTGAAGGGAGTCTCACTCCAGCCACACGTGTGAAGGGAGTCTCACTCCGGCCACACGTGAAGGGAGTCTCACTCCGGCCACGTGTGAAGGGAGTCTCACTCTGGCAACGTGTGAAGGGAGTCTCACTCCAGCCACGTGTGAAGGGAGTCTCACTCCAGCCACGCGTGAAGGGAGTCTCACTCCAGCCACGTGTGAAGGGAGTCTCACTCTGGCCACGTGTGAAGGGAGTCTCACTCCAGCCACCCGTGAAGGGAGTCTCACTCCAGCCACGTGTGAAGGGAGTCTCACTCCAGCCACGTGTGAAGGGAGTCTCACTCTGGCCACGTGTGAAGGGAGTCTCACTCCAGCCACGTGTGAAGGGAGTCTCACTCCAGCCACGTGTGAAGGGAGTCTCACTCTGGCCACGTGTGAAGGGAGTCTCACTCCAGCCACCCGTGAAGGGAGTCTCACTCCAGCCACGTGTGAAGGGAGTCTCACTCTGGCCACGTGTGAAGGGAGTCTCACTCCAGCCACGTGTGAAGGGAGTCTCACTCCAGCCACGTGTGAAGGGAGTCTCACTCCAGCCACGTGTGAAGGGAGTCTCACTCTGGCCACGTGTGAAGGGAGTCTCACTCTGGCCACGTGTGAAGGGAGGCTCACTCCAGCCACGTGTGAAGGGAGTCTCACTCTGGCCACACGTGAAGGGAGTCTCACTCCAGCCACGCGTGAAGGGAGTCTCACTCCGGCCACGTGTGAAGGGAGTCTCACTCCAGCCACGTGTGAAGGGAGTCTCACTGCGGCCACGTGTGAAGGGAGTCTCACTCTGGCCACGTGTGAAGGGAGTCTCACTCCAGCCACGTGTGAAGAGAGTCTCACTCCAGCCACGCGTGAAGGGAGTCTCACTCCAGCCACGTGTGAAGGGAGTCTCACTCCAGCCACGTATGAAGGGAGTCTCACTCCAGCCACGCGTGAAGGGAGTCTCACTCCAGCCACGTGTGAAGGGAGTCTCACTCCAGCCACACGTGTGAAGGGAGTCTCACTCCGGCCACACGTGAAGGGAGTCTCACTCCGGCCACGTGTGAAGGGACTCTCACTCTGGCAACGTGTGAAGGGAGTCTCACTCCAGCCACGTGTGAAGGGAGTCTCACTCCAGCCACGTATGAAGGGAGTCTCACTCCAGCCACGCGTGAAGGGAGTCTCACTCCAGCCACGTGTGAAGGGAGTCTCACTCCAGCCACACGTGTGAAGGGAGTCTCACTCCGGCCACACGTGAAGGGAGTCTCACTCCGGCCACGTGTGAAGGGAGTCTCACTCTGGCAACGTGTGAAGGGAGTCTCACTCCAGCCACGTGTGAAGGGAGTCTCACTCCAGCCACGTGTGAAGGGAGTCTCACTCCGGCCACGTGTGAAGGGAGTCTCACTCCAGCCACGTGTGAAGGGAGTCTCACTCCAGCCATGTGTGAAGGGAGTCTCACTCCAGCCACGTGTGAAGGGAGTCTCACTCCAGCCACGTGTGAAGGGAGTCTCACTCCAGCCACGTGTGGAGGGAGTCTCACTCCGGCCACGCGCCCTGAGGTCGCCACACGAGAAGCCATCCCGGGGAGGCTGCGCTGTCCTCGTCGTCCGTCCGTATGCGTCACATGGCCACGGCGTCACGTGGCCACGGCTTCACATCGTCACATGGTCGCGGCGTCACATGGTCGCGGCGTCACATGGTCACATCGTCACATGGTCACTGCGTCACATGGCCACGGCGTCACATGGTCACGGCGTCACATGGTCACATGGTCGCGGCGTCACATGGTCGCGGCGTCACATGGTCGCGGCGTCACATGGTCGCGGCGTCACATGGTCGCGGCGTCACATGGTCGCGGCGTCACATGGTCGCGGCGTCACATGGTCGCGGCGTCACATGGTCACATGGTCACGGCGTCACATGGTCACAGGGTCACATGGTCACGGCGTCACATGGTCACGGCGTCACATGGTCACGGCGTCACATGGCCACGGCGTCACGACGTCGTCACGGTACCCCTACAGAGCAGCGGTAACGCCTCCGCGGAGCCTCGCCGCTCATCCCAACCTGCAGCAGATCCCTTGGCAAGTTCCCCACCCCGATAAAGATCAATTGTTTTGTTATTTTAAATTAATTAGTATTAATCGTTATGTTCATTATTATTATATTTGTGTTGTGAAGAATGAGACGGGTGTAGATATTTTTAGGTTAGGAGGAGACTTGGCATGACTGTCCCAAACGCATCCATATTTATTTGAGTCTTAAATTCATGGGGAAATCCATTTCCGATGCACGCCACGCGTCGTCTGAAGCCGTCTGTTTATTGAAGAACCGCACCCATTTGGTAATTCGAGGGATATCTGAAACTTACTTGTACCCAATAAACATTCCGCACTTGCCGAGCCAACGTTGAACCGACGTTGGAAACAACTTTCCACGTTTAATGGGTATCCCCGCTTCTCCCAACATTTTTTTGTTTGTTATAAAGTCTCCATCCACCACCCAAACCGCTACCTCCTGCCTCTCCACCATCCACGTGACTCGCAATCTTCCCACTTCTCTCCCACTGCGTCTCCTGCCAACAACACTCTCACACGCAGCTCAGTTCATCTCGCACCACCTCCTCTTCCCATCGTGCCCCCCCCCCCCCCAACGTGGTGGTAACCTGTACCCAGCTGTAGCCCAGCTGCCCGCTACACTTGCTGCGGACGTTTTTGCGGTTCGAATTCAAGCGGCCACCTCCGATTAATACTGGCGGGTAGGGGGAGGGGCGTAGTGTGACGGTAACACAAACATATTGATAGATAATACTCCTACGGTGCCCGTCCCGGTTCACGGCGGACGTTGGCGAGATTCTCCCTTGACGTTTTCCAAATTTTGGGTTTCCAAATTTTCTCACAATGTCGAAAATGAACACGGAAAATTGCCAGATGGACCAGATGGGTTCCCCCCCTCCTCCTCTCGTTTGCAACATTTCTGATGAAGTTGACTGAAGGAAAAGTAACACGGAACACACAGACCATGTGGGGTTTGTACCCCCCCCCCCATCCCCCGACGTGTCATTACCTTGACGACGTCCTCGTTTACACAGCAAAATTATTATTAATAATAATAACAACAACGATAACAATAAAGAAAAATAGAAAAAATAATTTTGCGGGCAGCTCCGTCCGTTATGTACACCGAGGCCGCGGCCAATGTACACCGTGTTATTCTGTGTTAGATGCACTGTGTTGTTATCCTGTGTACACTCGCGCGCACACACACAACGCATTTGCACATCGATTGAATTAAAGTCTGTAAAAAAGGAAACGGATTCCCGCGCGTGCGGCCTCATCTTCGCGGTCAGATACTGTACATTATTAATGTTGTAATTTTTTGTGTACTTTTAAAACAGTTCTCGAACGTGTTTTTTTTTCCTTTTTGCGATTGTGTTTATACTAATATACAACATTTAATCCCTTCATTGAGCGTGTTTTTATTTTCCCTTTAAAACGTCCGTCTCTTCTCCCAAAGTAGAAAGTAACAAAGAGCGAGCGGACTTTTAGCGCCGATTTTTTTTGTCCACCCTGCAACCCCCCCCCCGGCACCCTCCCCCCGTCACCCCCCTCTGGCGCACAACAAAAAATTGTAATCGATATTCTTCGCCTGCCATTTTTAAAAGGTAAATGTTCCGAGCCATTTTTACTGCATTTTCCCGTGCGCCGCCGCACAGGTCAAAAGTTATATATATATTTTTGTTGAAAGGTAAAAACTCAAAAACGAAAGAAGTAATCATTTTAAAAAGTTCATTAAAAACCGTATATTCTAAGTGATAATATCAAACGAAACACTCTTTTCTCTCGGTAAAAACCCAACGTTGCGATCGCAAAACAAAATGGCGTCAGCGCGAGGGTGGGGGAGGGGGTGGGCGGTGTGGGGGGCGTCGTCACAAAGCGATCGCCGTCACGTGGCTCCTTGCTTCAAATCCGTCTCCACGGTAACGGTCCCTCGCGCGTGCCACGCGGGCTACGACGCCGCACACGGGAGCAGTCACGTGGGGCAGGGGGGGGGCAGCAGCAGGGAGAGGTCACGTGACACCATCCACACGAGCTGCTTAGACTACGTGGGTTTTGCAGTCGAGAAGGGAATTCAACAAAAACAAATAACGTGCTGGGGGTGTGGGGGTGAGGGCAGGGGGTAATAGGTCACATGGTGGAGCCACTTTAAAGTCACGTGACGTCGCCATTCAACACAAGTTCACGCGGGCGGCTGCCGTTCACAAGTGAGAGGCGGCTAGGGCGGTGGCAATGCCGTCGTCGAATCGGGCGAGATTAACGTGGTGGTGCCGTCTTGACGGGGCGCCGCCGCCATTTAACAAAAATAATCACTTGACAGCGACTCGTGGAAGTCACCCGCCTTAAATCCGCTGGGGCCAAAACGCAACAAAATCTTGTTTGTGTCGCTTGTTTTGTCCAGTTGAACGCTTGCTTGCTTTTGTTTCGTGACTTTGCGTTTGGTGGCGCGCTCGCAACGCGCGCGCCTGGGGGAGGGGTGATAAACAGCACGTGACGCACAATTCCCCTTCCCACTGAGGTATAATAATCATCATCTGTTAAACCGCACGCACTCCATTCAACGAAACAGAAGACTCACTCTAGTCTGTGATCGTACGCATTAAAAGTACCGATAGGCGACCAACTTATCGACCGTTCCATCTCAGCAACAACAACTAAAAACTCCATTTCCTTTAAACCCGGATCAAAAGTCAAAAGCGTTCCGACGAGTGCGGTGTGACACTCCTCCCCGTCAAACCGCCCTGAGCCAACGGTGGAAACTCCACGTTCCCTAGGGCAGGCGCCAGTTACAAACACAGGACCGCCGCTGCCGACGGCGGTGGGACGAGTTGATCCCTGGCCAGGTGTAGAACTCGTCGCTATTCCCACTTCGGCGGCCGGGGCTCTGTAATCGCGTGGCGTGATGCTTGACCGTCTGCCCTCAATGCAACCACAAGCGATGATCGTTGACGCATCGACGATGACGGGTGGCGGGGTGGGGGGGGCGTTCAAACGCCAACACGCCCTCGCACCCTCCCGTCGGTGGAGTGTCCCCACGCCCTCCAGGGACGTATCGGGTGGAGTCAAAGTGACGTCACCGTCGCTGCTCCTACTCCCTTCTGTCCGTGTCCGGCTGAACGGCAGCAGCAGCAGCATTGTTAATCTGCGTTCGTTTTCAGCGAGTTTCGCCCGAGCAGGAGGAGGCGGTTTTGCAAACTTTACCGATCACCGCTGTGGGTTGCCGACAGTATCAAATATGTCGTCATAGTAAACCCGGCCATGGGGTTAGACAGCCGTACGAACGAACGCCATGCCTCGCAAACCTGCCAACCGGGTTTTCGAACGCTTACACGGAGGGGGCGGTTTTCAAAAAATATACTTTTAAAGTTGGATTTATTTTATCGTGATTTGAGATTGCATCGTTAACCCCCCCCCCCCACGCCACCCCCCTCGCCACCGACTGCACGAGGCCTGGGACTAGAGCGGACGTGAGAACGTGGCCGAGTCCCAGCGCATCCACCGTCGCCCCACAGCCCACGCTCTCGGTCGCCTACGGTGCCGCGCTGTGTAGCGGAGCGCAAAGCCGCCCCGTGCCGTTGTTCCTCCGTTCCTTCGCTGCATTCGACATCTTTAATTATTTCGAACTTTGAAATTAAGAGGTAGCAGGACCGTCGTCGCCGTCGTTGTCGCATCTTCTATCATCAGGGGACGCCAGGTGCAATTTATTATTCTTCGTACCTTCAACAAAAATGTGCTTCGGAAAAAAGCAAAACGTACGATCGTAAAACGACGATGAAAAACAGTTTTCACTGCAGATTCTCATTTCCAAACACAATATGGGCATTGTGAAGGCCTCCCGCAGGCCCGCATTAGGCTCAGAGAAGGCCCATGAAGGCCTAAGCAACGTTTGTACAGGTCCGTTGAAGGCCCAAGCGAGTGTTTTTAAAAAGCCTCTTGAATGAATGTGGATGGCCTATTGCAGGTGTGAAGGTCGATGTTTAAGGTCTAGAAAAGGCCCTAACAAGGTCTCATGAAGGTCTCTTGGAAGGCCTATGGAAGGTCCCGCGACGGTCCATTTAAATCCCAAGCGAGGGCTTTATGAAGGTCCACAGAAGACCTTGCCTACTGGAAGGCCTAGCAGTAGGCCCTAGTTGAAGGCCTCACAAAAAAGGTTCAAAGAGCCCAAAGTGCCGTGGAGGTACTGCAGGCCTGAGGAGGGTCGAAGGCCCGGCAGGTAGTCCCGCAGGCCGCGGCGTGGCGTTGGCCGAAGTCATCCTGGCGTGGAGGGACTCCAACTTGGGGAGCGCCGTCGAATTCAGAGGCGACCGGGGATCTCGGCCAGACTCCTCAGGCCGTTGCGCAGTGACGTCATCCCCTCGTCCACCAGCCCTGCTCACGCATACGCACGACGCGGGGACACGCGGCGCGGGCTCTCGTCATAAGTGTTCATGTTCACGTGAAGTTGGTGCATCACGCCACCTCCGAAGTGACAACAGCGGGGGGTGCGGGACAGACATCGACAACATCTGACAATACGGGAAGTGGGGAGAACCGCGTGTCAATGCATCGTCTTGATTGGGATTGATCAGTTTAAGTCTAGGTCACCTTGCCTGCAAAAACACAACTCAAACTGGTGCAACGTTGACCCATCAGCTGTTTCCCATAACAATGAACTACATTACAGGAGATGCGTTCCATCACTCCAATACTCCACACATAAAGTCTTAATAAATCATAAACGATACAATTTATTGAGGAATATTAATACTAAGTACGGTAAGTGCAAGATATATTTACACACAAAATAAATATTACATGAAACAATAAAATAAGATATGTAATAGATACAGTTTCATATGTACATAAATATTTACATAGGGTATATTTTCTCACAGAATCTAAATCTTTATATAGACTTGAGGAATCTAATGAGCTATGAAGCTCTATTTCACAGATGTCCAGTATGGGGCGATGTGGCTCGAGTGAGTCGAGGTGGGTGGAGAGACTGTGGCACAGTGCGGGGTACATCTGCTGTGCATCTACCGGTCATCTCCGTCAGCCAATCCACGGCACCTGGGTCTGTCCCCTGACCTCCTGTCAGCAGCGAGCCTTCGACACTTGGCGTGGCCTCAAAGTGCACCTGGCCTGGCACAGGCACCGTGGCGACGTCACCGTCTCCTAGGCGGTTGTATTGGTGGAGGCATAGTGGGCGAACGACGCCGAGCAGCATGGTACCACTACGCTGCTCAAAGTCCCTCCGCCACGCGAAAGCGCGCGCAGTGCAAGAACTCAACTCGGTAGCGAGCGATGGAGCAACTGGCAAGCGATAATAAACACGTCGTCGACCACGACGAAAAACTGATCGGAACAATGTCCCTTATTTTGCAACGACGTTAAAAAGAAATACGAGCCGTAAGCTGACACGACTTCACACCGATCGTCGCCGGTAATGTCGCGACTGTCGTGGGGACGCTTAGCAGCGACCCTCCGTGAATTCGGCGTCCCCTCGGTATTCGCGACGAGAGAAACCTTCCAGGGATGCTCGTTAATAGCACATTTCTCGTGGATTATGACTTTGTTTTGAATGAATTACCTCGACAAAATAGCGCGGTTGGCACCTCCGATTATCAGCACGGTTGTCTACGTCCGGCAAACAGAGAAGGTCCTCCAGGTGAGATATCCCTGGCAAGGTTCACCGACGCGTGCGTGCCGGCTACATCTGGCCTGCCTCTCGTTGCCATTAGCCCCACGATATTGACAGGGGCCGATCCGTCGTGAGACGCCAAGGAGGCCTCCGAGGTCATTCGGATCGCCCGCTCTAAACGTCCACGTGATGGTGACGACAAGCCGCCACTACGTTGAGCTATCATTTGTGGCCAGGTCACGTCTGAAAAGAAAAATAAGCTACACAGATCAGTGGGCTTTACCTGGTAAGGTTTAAAAAAATGTTTTAGTTTAATCTGTCTATTTTATCAATTGATTCCTCGTTCACCGTCCCTACACTTTGCATGCCTGTCCTGTTGTCTGCCCTGCCCCTCACTGGACATCTGTGAGAGAGAGAGAGAGAGGTGGTCGTGCTTTGGCCACTGCAGCTCAGCACGCGATTGATTAACGCTTTGCCCCTTGCTAATAAGACAATGGGAGTGGTTATAGCTATTGTTGTAGCCTTGTCTGAACAACTCCGTATAATAGATTTTACCCTTCCTGGCAATAAAACAGGTGTGTTAAGATGTAAAAAATGGTAAAACTTATTCTTGTATTTTTATACTGGCAAAAGAGGTACATTGAAATAAAACAGGTGTTAAGATTTAAAGCTTTCGTGACTGCAGGGATTCATATTCTTGGTTCTTTCGGTAAAGTCACGTAGAAGGGAGACAATAAAATAATAAAAATATAAAACAATAAAATTCTCACGACGTTTCCACTGCAACACAAGCAATCATCATCAGGTGTGAAAACCACAGCAAGAAAATCTGAAAAAAGTGGCGTTTTTTTTAACGCTAGCACCACGGAGAGCGATTTGGCAGTTATTCAGATGGACGAGTCCATCTACAGTGAGGGAAAAAAGTATTTGATCCCTTGCTGACCCTGCACGCCCACCCACCGACAAAAAAAACGACCAGTCTACAACCCCAATGGCAGGTCCATTTGAACAGCGAGAGACAGAACAACTACAAAATCCAGAAAAACGCATGTCAAAAATTCTACAAATTGATTTTCTTGCTGTGGTTTTCACACCTGATGATGATTGCTTGTGTTGCAGTCGAAACGTCGTGGGAATTGTATTGTGTTTATATTTTTATTATTTTATTGTTTCCCTTCTACGTGGTGACTTTACCGAAAGAACCAAGAATATTGGTATTCTTAGCTCTTTCGGTAAAGTCACGTTGAAGGCAAACAATAAAATTATAAAATATATAAAACAATAAAAATTCTCACGACGTTTCGACCATAACACAAACGGTCATCATCAGGTGTGAAAACCAACGGAAAAAAACATTTGAAAGAAGTGGTGGTCCGCATTTATTTATTTATTTTAAAGCGGTGTTTGTATTTAAAAAAAAACGTTAGCACCACGGGCAGCGATTTGGCAGTTTGTTTAGAAGGACGAGTCCATCTATGTTCTGAAAAGAGGAGGGGGGAGACGAAAAATTAATGTATGCTGTCTGAAAGCCACCGTAAGCGTGAATAATCAATTAAGACCTGAAATGGTTTATCAAATCAAAAAGAATATGGGTGTTAAGATGTTAGAACAGAACCCTTTTGCAAGGAATCATGTCTGCATGAACCAGTTTCAAAGACGATGCAGATCCTACCAGAGCATGTTTTTGTGTTTGCATGTTCACCACAAGAACCGTGCGTGGTTAATGCAGTTTGGTGTTTTAACATCTGATTTACTGCCAGAAAGGCGAACACCTATTCTTATATTTTGATACTGGCAATGGAGTTCCCACGACTTTCCAACTGGGCTCTGTAAAGTGGCCTTGAGCTCTGGCCGTGGACCGTGCAGGCTTGGGGCTTGTTCCGTGGCTTCCCACGCACGGTGGTGGCGCATTGCTGGGGTTCGACGGAATAAATGCGCCACCTTTCATATATGAATTATTATTGATTTTGTATTGTTCTAATTTATTTTGCAAGCGCAGGAGGAGGGCCATTTCCCGAAACGTCGCCAATGATATTGATTTATTTTAGAAGCAGCAACGTTGAGTTTTGGCTGTTGTTGTTACTTGACAGTGGCGGTGGTTCAACGGTAGCGTTGCCGATGAAAAGTAAGCCGCGAGTTAATATGTCCCCAACATAATTTATCGATAAAGATTGTACATTTTCCTTCGCGGTTAAGATCATGGTACATTTGAAGAAGAAAAAAAAGTACCCTCCAAATGTTGCCACTGCACGTTAAGAGACGTAACGCACACAGCCCACACACACAGACAAAGATCCCCCCTATAGCCTCAGCAGAGTGTTGGGGCAAGTGCTGTTAGCGAGCAGCAGCGCCTATGAAGGCCGGCACTGTGGGCACACGAGGAGGTGGGTGGCCAGCACCACGCTCGCTCTACCGCCTTTGTCTCCCCTAGTGGCGATGTTTACACATCGCACCAGGTGCTACATTTCAGGCTGAGTCGACCTAGGGGAGGCCCAGGACAGGTTGAGATCATCGTTACTGGTGGTTGCCGTGAGGGTCGCCGGGTTCGTAGCGCAGCTCGCTCACCACAATTCCACCGCACACATTCACACAAAGACAAAGATCCCCCGTGTAGCCTGTAACAGACTGTTGGGGCAAGTGCTGTTAGCGAGCAGCGATGAAGGCTGGAATGGCACACGAGGGAGTGGGTGGCCAGCACCACGCCCGGCCGCCTTTGTCTCCCCAGTGGCGATGTTTACTACACACCGCACCAGGTACTCATTTGAGGCGAAGTCGATATATTCACACACACACACACAGTGACACACACAGATAGTGACACACACACAGTGACACACACAGATAGTGACACACACACACACAGTGACACACACAGATAGTGACACACACACAGTGACACACACAGATAGTGACACACACACAGTGACACACACAGATAGTGACACACACAGTGACACACACAGATAGTGACACACACACAGTGACACACACACACAGTGACACACACAGTGACACACACAGATAGTGACACACACACACACAGTGACACACACAGTGACACACACAGATAGTGACACAGACACAGTGACACACACACACAGTGACACACACAGTGACACACACACACAGTGACACACACAGTGACACACACAGATAGTGACACACACACAGTGACACACACACACAGTGACACACACAGATAGTGACACACACACACACAGTGACACACACAATGACACACACAGATAGTGACACACACACACAGTGACACACACAGTGACACACACAGATAGTGACACACACACACACGCACAGTGACACACACAGATAGTGACACACACACACAGTGACACACACAGTGACACACACAGATAGTGACACACACACAGTGACACACACAGTGACACACAGATAGTGACACACACACACACAGTGACACACACAGTGACACACACACAGTGACACACACAGATAGTGACACACACACAGTGACACACACAGATATTGACACACACACACAGTGACACACACAGATAGTGACACACACACAGTGACACACACAGTGACACACACAGATAGTGACACACACACAGTGACACACACAGTGACACACACAGATAGTGACACACACACAGTGACACACACAGTGACACACACACAGTGACACACACAGATAGTGACACACACACAGTGACACACACAGATATTGACACACACACACAGTGACACACACAGATAGTGACAC